GGTGAACCCCTGTAAATGACTGGTAAACTTAACTCACCAAACTTCATCTATACAGTTAGTACTTAACACAATTTTAAGCTTTCCTACCCTACAGTGCAGTACATATATCAGCACTTTTTACAAGCTCCATGGTCATATTATCTTGGTCAAAATTTCATCATAAATTGTTAATTTTGGTCCTAGATAGTACTAGTTGTCACTGTGCTGTGCTGTGCAAGTGTCATACATTGTGTTTCATTATGTCAGCAAACACTAAACATAAAACTAATGCTAATCAACTATGTTAAATGCAACTAGAGTAATTCTAAGTAAAATATTGTACAAGTGACTCTATGTACAACACCAATAGTGTAAGTAGGTCTTAAAATACTGTACTGTACAACAAGGGGTAATGACTGAAGGAAATAAAACAGTCTAGTCTAAGGTCTACTACACAAACAGGGCCATCTATACTACACAACTATGGTCCAGTAAAGGAACCTGGCCAATTATAAGGTCCAATAAAGAAACCTGGCCATCTGTAAGGGCCAATAAATAAACATATATGATAAAAAATACTTGAGTTAAGATGTCCCTACGTCATGTGATCAGGAGAAGTACTGTACAGTTTGTTGGGTCATTACCTTCTGTAAGAGACACAAAATACACAACATTATTGAACAACAACAGACGACCCAAATAACATATTATGATGCCCGGCGCAAACCTCGCTAGTTAATGGGGGCGGGGACTCATGCACACACGCAGCCTCACGCATTACAACGGAGATCACGTCGGTGTTTTTGTTGTGACGGCAGCATTTTCCTCACTAGTTGACGAGTGAAGTTTGCCACAAGTTAGGACATAACATAAGAGCTACAGTACTGTCCAACTTACACTATATTTAAACCTTCCCTGTCTGCTGATAGTTGGTAAGAAGTTCCGCTATATTTCCGAACCAATGTTCACCTATCTCGGACCTAAATCTATATTTGTCTAATTTAAAACCATCGTTACGAGTTTGCTACTGATCTGTAATAAAAATATTTATTAATATTTTATTTATTAATTCTTATTTCTCTTAATTTCTAATTGTCTTTACTAGTGAGAGAGAGAGAGAGAGAGAGAGAGAGTGAGGGAGGTTGTTGTGGTCAGGTCACCCTCACACCAAGGGAGGGAGAGAGGTAATAGGCCAGTTGAGACACTAGGGACAGTTATGTTATTACTCACTCTACACCAAAGAAATGTATCATGAATATTTTACTGTTTATTGATGACTTAACCTTGGGAGTATTGTATCTGGCCATGTTAAAACATTTACACTTTACCAAATTAAACAAAAGCCAGGCTGTAGAATGCCACACAGGCTCTCCCTATTGGTTCAGGTTCAAGGCCCTCAATGTCATTGGTCAGTTTGATCGGAAACACTTGGACAGTTCCCCATTTCTCGGTCAAATTTTGATACATATGTAGTGGCTACTCTCCCCTACAACTTCCAACTGAGCTCCGGCCGCACTCCGACCAGCCAATCAGCGTACAGCCGATCGATCGAAAATGCTAGTGACAGGGGGGAAGGAGGTTCAGGAGAAGAATAAAGCGCGTACAGCCTAGACTAGACTAGCCTAGACTAGAAAATGCTAGTGACAGGGGGGAAGGAGGTTCAGAGGTAGACTAGCCAGCTACGCCGAGAGACTAGGTCTATGCAGAGGACGTAGGGGTACGATCGCCGACCTAGTCTCGACCATCAACCTCCAGTTCAGGATCAGAGCGTTTCACACCTTACGCTGGAGCCGCTGTGATTGGTCACCTCGCTACGCGCACCCCAGATCCTGATCCTGGTAAATTGTATAAATACGGCAACGCCTGCCCAGGGTAACCGGCCTAAAAGCCGCGGAAGAGTGGGCAATACAATGGGGATTTAAGTTCTCAGCTGAGAAGACAGTAGGAGTAGTCTTCTCTAAGAAACGTGACGTTAGAAATCCAGTATTAAAACTAAATGATACTCCTATTAAATTTCAAACTTCAGTAAAATTTCTTGGTGTTCATTTTGACCGGAAATTAACGTGGAAAAACCACATTAACGAACTTGAAAGTAAATGTCTCAAAGTCACAAACATCCTGAAAGTTTTATCAGGTACTACATGGGGAGCCGATAGGAAATCTTTATTAATGGTGTATAAGACCCTGATCAGATCAAAACTTGATTATGGATGCCAGTTGTATGCCTCGGCATGCGACACCACACTCGCAAAGCTAACCAGAATACAGAACCGATGCCTTCGTCTATGTCTGGGTGCTTTCAGGTGTACACGTGTAGGCAGACTAGAGGTTGAGGCCCACGTCCCTCCACTTCACATCAGGAGGGACCTGTTGACGCTGAGGTACGGGTTGAGTACGGCTAGGAAGCGCGGCACAGGTCACCCAGGGTGGTGTGCTGTTGCTAAATTCCGTTTCCTGCAGCTGCGTAGGTCCCCGTCCTCGGTTGTCCGCCTCCAGACCTTGTGCCAGGGTGCTGGTATCCATCTCGGAGACGTTGATAGATACGTTCCACCGTTGTGTCCGCCATGGGAGAACCCCGACTTCCATGTGGAAACATCGTGGCTTCCGGGAGCGAAGAATGACTTTCATCCTGAGCTCCTGAGGCAACTTTTCTATCAATTTCTTGAAGGATTCAGCGCCTATACTCACGTGTACACCGACGGGTCCAAGACTGACGACAACGTCGGAGCCGGTATCTGGAGCAGAGACGGGGAGTGGAGCTCCCGCCTGCCGCGGCACACAACCATATTCTCTGCAGAAATGTTCGCAATAAGTAGAGCCATTGACATCGCAATAACAAGCAATGTCAATGATGTCGCTGTCATTTCAGATTCAATGTCAGCTCTTAAAGCAATTCAAGGTGGTGATACTACCAGCAACGAGATACAGGGCAACATTATTAATAAATTACATGAGTGTGCCAAGAATATTGTACTGGTGTGGGTGCCTGGGCATTGTAACATTTGGGGCAATGAACAGGCAGACAGACTAGCAAGAGCGACTGTGGGTCTCGGGGAGACAACTAATGTACCCTGGGAGACTCAGTCGTGTCTCTCCTTGGGGAAGACATATACATTTGGAAAGTGGCAACTTGAATGGACTAGGTTAAATCTCCACAACACCTGGAAGCCTAATATAGGAAACTGGCCCTCAGCATATAGAAAGAATAGGAGGGAAGAGGTCGTTCTCGCCAGACTAAGGCTGAACTGTACCTATCTGACCCACCTAGGGGCCTATCTTGACAAGTCCTTCCCACCTATCTGTGCCACTTGTAACCTAATTCTCTCCATCAGACATATTCTGACTGAGTGCAGCCAGTACGAACCAGAGCGCCGGCAGCTGGTGATCCTAGCTGCCGAGCAAGGCTTCGTGCTGACTGTACCCAACCTATTGCAAGATAATGTCACCATAAGTGACGCTGTAATAACCTTCCTCAAGGAGACCCATCTTATCGGCATGTTATGATTGACACACGCATGAACTCTTTTTATATCTATTATATGTATGTAACCATGCCTTATAAAAAATAAAAAATAAAAAAATAAAAATGAATAAAACAAAAATTAAAACATACAACATGAGAAACACATCACAAACCTTATCATTACATACAACACTCACATTTATCAAGCTAAACTGACACCCACCAACACATATTCAAACAAAAAGACACGGGCTACAAAAGACAAAATAAAAAAAAATAAAAAAAAATAAAAAATCACAGAGAAACTAGTCACCTGACAAGCCATTTCATCTGGTCTGTCACTAACTCACCATCATATCACTCATGCATACCATAATTCATCCCAAATAAAACAAAAAGAAGAAAGAAGTAACCAAAATACCAAGAACAAGAAGAACACAAGAATAACAAGAAAAGAAGAAACAAGAACATCAGATTAGTTGTAGCAAGAAAGAAGACCAAGATTAGAAGAAGAAAGAAGACATCAGCTTCGGCCGAAATAGCCTAATGGCGAAGAGGCCAGTAATCCCCAACAACCACCACCACCCAGGGAGGACATCCTACACTCAACTACTGGACCAGCAACATCTCTCTCAGCTCCTCACCTAGTCACTCCTAAGCACTGCGCTGTACAACAATATATATACAGGAAGCGCATCGTGAGTTTCTATCCAACCTCATTCCTGAGTGAAGGTATCTACATGTACGTACGTTTGTGTGCCCATACAAAGAGATAATAGACAACTAAAGAGAATTGACAACTGGCCACATACAGTACACTACAGTATAATGTACGTCCACTACAAAACCTATGACCCTTCAGGCTTTTACTCCCTTAATGTACGAGTCATAAAGGCCAGTGTGAACCTTCCATGCCTCCCTGGTGGCCGCCGTAAACGCCTCACCTTCCACAGGATGTAAGGGGGTGCCCAATAAACTAGCCCCCTCTGGGACAAATCTGAAAATCTGAATTTTATATTTATTATTTAAACGCTCTAGAAATTATAAAATTACTCTAAAATATTATTAATTATCCTTAATTTTGTAAATTTTGTCACTGTGTGTTGTTTGCCAATAATGCCTTACTAATTTTATTTAAGAACTCCCTCAAAGCAAGCTATTTCCAGTCACAATATTAACAGAGAATTATACATATCTATTTGGTGTATACTTATATGATTTATGATTAGTAGAATGTTAAAGAGCTCTTGTTAAGACTAGGTTTGGGCGGGCTACTTAACGTGCTAACCAGCTCCTTCTGATGTAACTGTCAATAAATGTTTGGAATTTGAATTGTAATGGTGGTCATAGTTGAAGGTGTTCGGACAGGTATGACTTCGTTGTCAAACAGTAACATTAATATTGCAGGTATAAAACAATGCTATTATATATAAAAATAGTATTTTCTCAAGATTATATTTTTGTCTTAATAGATATAAAATACTGTACATATAAGTAATCCAGGTTGTGGATATAAAAGAATGAAGAATATGTTTGACTAGCTGCGAGGGTTGGGACAGGGAACCACACTCGGGAACGCTATCTGAATGTAACCTCTTGACAGTCCCTGACATAACCACCTCATCCGTCGGTAAGACATTTATTAATAATATTATTATCAGATATATAATGTTAATAATAACAAGTAGTTGTTGGTATATTATTAGCCAGAGCTAAAGTGTAATTAATGGTTAATTTAGTCTATTGAGCTGGGTCGCCAGGCACAGGTGATGTCTTCAGGGCCGGGTTAAGACTCGTAGGCCTCAGGCACCTCCAAGATATGGGGCCCCAATGACACCATTTTCACTAATAACACAAGCTAGTACCTAATTATAAAATGTGATGTCGAAAGAATAAGATAATCAAGTAACATAAATGATACTAATAGGATTAAGTAATAAATAAATGGAAAAAAGTACCTCAGTATCAATTTAATAATAACCTGTAGAAGAAGGGGAAGAAAAGTTCTCGTATTATTTTTTGTAGGCCCCCAATATCTCGTAGGCCCTAGGCACTGTGCCTACTGTGCCTAATGGATAATCCGGGCCTGCGTATCTTTTATATCAAAATTCATGATAAGTAAAAGCCATATCTGTTGTCCATTACATTATAAGGTAGAGATTCATTGGGAAATTATTATTTGCAGATGACAGGGGAATCAGGAATTTATCTTCTCGGTCAATAGTTAGACAAGCCTAAGACACTTCTCTGTCGTCATAATTTTGTGAGGGAAACGTCATAGGAGAAAAGCGTTTTCCAATGCCGTCGGTATTATTGCGTTTACACACCGTTCATTCTTACCACTAATCTATTATCATATTCAAATAAGACGTCTAATTATAAGATAATTTTCATCTATTACATTACCGGAGGAAATGTATAATAACGGAGATAGCTTTTCCAAAATATTTTTTATTTTCTTCCATTAACATCCCGCCATTATCGTCTGCCTCTCCTCCAACACTGCGTGTTTCCTGCGCATGCGTTGCTGTACACGCCACGCGGCCAATCAAAAGCCTTTTTTATTTTGAAACCAATTAAAATGTTTTTGGCCCAATCAAATTCGAGTATTCTTTTGGGTCTCTCATATTTTGAAATTCAAGTTCAGTTCCGACCATGGAAGTCTGCGATGGGTGTCACTTAAAGTATGTGGAGCTGATTGAGAGTTTTGGGGAAAAAGACGAAGAAACTATAGCATTTTTTCGATCGCATGGTGTTATTCCAACCTCAGTAAAGTGTACTAAGAGCAAGACGGAATGTAAATATCGTAAAGACCAACATATGTGGCGTTGGGTAAGAATCCCAGAACGCAACGACGACCAAGAACCAGGCCAATAAGGTAAGAAATAGGTGATTCCATCATATGGTGAGAGTCAGTTAAGTTAGGTCAGGTTAGGTTATTGTTTTTCTAGTGTTTTTTTTTTTTGTATTTTTTTGCCGCTTAGCCACTTTTTTTTTCTCGGAAAACGTCAAACGAAAAAAAATTGCAAAAAAAACGGCTAATTTCCGCCGAAAGGGAAGGTCATATTCAGTCTCAACACACACAAATATACTAGAAAAATATATTTTTAACTTGCTAAAAGTGAACGGTGTGACAAGAAAAATTTACCATGCCGTCCTTACCATGTGGTGTTCAGCATCATATCACAAGTTATCTATGCTTGTGTAGGAATACATTGACTAGTTGGCAAGACGTGAAAGTGTTCAACAGAACTGACAGTGAAGAAGAAATACTGTACACTGTGTTTCACTGCAACAACCAATCGTACTCTCACGTGCCACTTCAAGATAATTGCTTTCATTGGTAGCAGATATCAAAGTTAATTCTGTCCCTGCCCCAGCTAGGAAGTTAGGTAAGGTTGATTAGGTTAGGTTTGATACAGGTCAAATAAGCCCAGCCTATAATATAATAAGTTTTGTGTATTATAAAGCTGTTGGTTATATTTCCAGGAAGTTAAGGACAATGTACAGTACTGTATTAATTTAAAGCGAATCTCCTATTTTACGCAAGTCAATCTGGTGCATCTTATGGAAATACACACTATTTTAATTTTCGCGCCTAATGTTTACCGCCAGACTCGTCTCTGGGCACGCTACACGGCTGCCTGCCACCCTCCCACATCCTCAGTTCTCGCACTGACGCTCTAGTGAGCGGACATATTGTGTGACACTATCTCCTTCTACCACGTGTATTAACCATCACCACTATGTCCAAGAGGCCATCCACTACATCATTAAATACCCCAAAGACCCTGAAATCAAGGCAAGCAATTACTGTACACTGGAGCAGAAAATCAAGGTGTTAGAAGCACTGCAGCGTGGAAATGTTGCTTCGAGTGTGGGACGCCAATTTGGACAGTGCTGTGGATAATGAGCTGGTCGAGTTGGGCTCTGCATCTTCAGAGGATGAATTGAAAAAGTAAAATGGAGTGAAATTTTTTTTTTATAGCATAAAATAATTAAAAACTAAGTTGAGAGGAAATTGAAAGTGCTTGGCGAGTTCAGACGAGAGGCAGGTGGTGCGCGGCGCCAGCGTGACCACCCTCTCATATCAGCTGATCGCTAGTAAACAGACCATTTTGCGTCCCTTAATTTTAGCTGTGTTGATTTATGAGTGTTGTATCATAATACTACAAAAACAATGTTTTGTTTGTTCTAGGAGATGGCCTGAGGTGCATCTGGGTAGACTCAGTTTTTTAGTATTTTGTGTTTCTCTCAAATACAAAACTAAATTATTTAATGCGAATTCGGTTTAAAGCGACTTCTCTTCGAACGTATCTCGTGTTATATCGACGTTCTACTATATTAAATTATATTTCATAAAACTACCTTAAGAATATATATATCCATATGTTGCAAATGAAATATAAATGAATTTTGTGCGTAGACTGGGTGAGCTACCCCATTATACAGGTTCTGTATACAGGTGTTCCAAATACACCTAGACCCCGACTTACGACGGGGTTAGGGACCCAAATCCAGGTCGTAAGTCCGACATGGTCGTAAGTCCGACATAGATAAAAAAAAAAAAAAAAAAAATAAATAAAAAAAATTTAATAAAAAATCTACAATGAAATACAGTACAGTAAAAGTAATGAATAATGATGAATGGATACAGTACAGTGAAAGTAATAAATAATAAGGAATGGTTACAGTGTGACTGAGCACTTAACCTTTAATGTAGTCAGCTGAATGCATATGGGGCCCCCATAATTTTCTAATTATACATGGAGACTACATTAACTGGAAACGTTTCGGTATAGAAAATGCGTGTGTCATTTGAAGAAAAAAAAAATTCTGCGGCGGTCGTAAGTCCACGTAGTCGTAAGTCGGGGTCTAGGTGTATATCCCAAATCCGAGACCCTTAAATCCCCAAGCATTTTGGATAAAGGATACCCAACCTGTACTTGTGTTTATGTGCAGCTGTGTACAGTATTGTACTACAGTATTTAAAACATCAAATACACTGTACCCATTAGTTTTAATTCACATTTAAATACATTTTTTCAAGAATATGGAGCAGCTTTATTATTTAAGCATATTACCCGTATCTTGTGTTTGGGCACATGAGGTCATGATGTAGTTTTGGTTCAAATTCATCAGAGATGCTGTGCTGTACTGTACTGTTTTAAATTCTGATTTAAGGATCTTGATTCGGAATGCAAAAATGACACAAATTAGCGTTAATTATGACCCTTGAATTAATTAAACAAGTTTACAGTAGTGTATTCATCTAAAAGTGGACATTTATGTAAATGTGTTTGTGTGCAAATATAAAGGTGTTTAACACTTACGTTAGTAGAAGAGATGGGTGGGCACACGGGGATGGCGGCTAGTTCCGAGGCAGAGGGTAGATTAGTGGCCCTCTGGTGAGTCACTATCACTATTCACAGAGGTTTGCAGGGCCTCCCTGACAAACCCCTCAAAGTCCATATTCTCACTGTCACTATCACTGACTTGGGCCGGCTGTGGTTGTGGTGGGTTGCGGGCGAAGAAGTCCGTAATATTACGTTGACGACTAGCATTGATGTTGTCGTTATACATCTTGATATATGGCTCCATAGACTGCAACAGGAGGTTATTGGTAACTTCATAGTGGTGATTCACTGGGTCTTTTGAAAGGATGAGCTTGACTTTCTCGACATACTCGATGGCCTCCTTTACATCACTATGACTTAACGTTTGTTCTTCTTTTCCTGCCGTACCACCTGCCTGCTCACTGGCATCATCATCTTCCAACATCTCGTCGGCAGTCGTCTCAGGTTGCCTGATTACCTCCAGGATATGTCGTTGGTGGTCTCGGAGAAGTCTGCAGCTTTAACACTGTGCAGCCTCTCTTGCAATGTCCAATGCCACTGCAACGGACTGAGCCTCTCCAGCCACAGGCTGACTCTGCCTCCCACCTGGGATACCCTGCAACACATGCCGCCACGCGTGACGGATCGTTGCCACAGACAGCTGCCCCCATGCCTCCACCAAGAAATCAACAGCTTTCTTGACGGTGAATTTCTTCAAAAACTGTTTGACGCGCACTTCATTCTCCGCCAACTCTTCTTCTGGATCCTCGCTCTCGCTATCTGTGTCACTCAGAAGGTTCCACAATTCCTTCTTGGTGTTGGTCAAGTCATTAAGGAGCGGAAACTTCTTTGTGGAGAAAGCAGCCTTGACATTGCAAATTAACTCTTGCTCCATGGGCTGGATTAGTGTCATAGTGTTAGGGGAAAGGAAGACCACTTTTACATTGGGGTGACGATCCAGCAATAGGGGCAAGTGTCCTGGTGCGTTATCAAGGAGCAACAAAATGTTAAATGGAACATTATGTTGCTTGCAGAATTTCTGGGCGTCGGGCATGAAACAGTCGTCAAACCAGGAGAGGGACAGACCAGTGAACATCCACGCCTTCCTGGAGGTTAGCCAGTGGACATTAATCTTGCTCATGTCCATGTTCTTGTAGGCGTGTGGCTTGCGGGCTGTGTGGATCACCGACAACTTGAGCTTATATCTTGGTCACTAAAACTTACCTCATTTGCGGGTCCGATCCAGTCAGCTGTGTTTACACTCGACGGAAGGTGCAGGCCATAACTTGGTGGGTGGATAGATTGATATCATGTTCTTTATTTTAAGGATCAAATTCCAACACAGTTTTTCCTATTTTCTCCCCATCAAGCTCTGCTGGTACTCCTGAATTGTTACTGTGCAAAGATGGAATCCAGTAGCGGAAGGACCCTGTTTGTGACGCCAGACGGAAAACCTATGCAGTTCTCAATGCGCGAATGCAAGGAGTATTTTGAATTAAAAGAACAGATCCCAGTAAGTTGCAGTACAGTACAGTATATACCTGTTGTAATGAATATATTTCTTCACTCAATTTTACTTATTTTAGGAGGCTAGAGAAGAGTTCAAGTAGTGCCCAGATTAAGAAGCTTCTGTATATAAAAAATTGGAAGTTAGGAAATAAAATTGCAGTGCTTTGATTTACGAATGAATACCCGAAATTTACGAGGGAAAATTTTTTTATTTTTCTAAGTAATATTATGTTAAAAGAATTCTTTCTCACTAAATTTATTTTTTAATTTACTGCATTTATTTATTTGATTGTTTGATTGTTTCCTACCAGAACTGAGTTCTTACTTATTTCATTATTTTCTAACACTGCAACCACAATGATATTAGGTCTGTAAATCAGTTGACAATCTCCTTCAAATACCATATAGTGTACTGTAACTTTTCAAACTCACCGAAGACAAGTAGATCGGTGCTACTTTAGCGTGTTGTTAAGATATTTAGGTTAGGTGACGTTAGTTTGGACTAAAGATTTCTTTGTAGACTGCATGCTATAGTAGCACCCGTAGACCTTCCTCCACCATGCACACAGTCACTCAGTGGTTGTCTGATTGTTCAGTTTCTCCTTATTAACTCTCATGTATAGTCAAAAAGGAAATTTTTCTATTTTCTTAAATTTCATATACTGTACAATACAGTATGCTAATTAGCTATGTACAGTACAATAAGGCATAGAGTTGTAAGAGAAAGTGTTGATTAATTATTGGCTTATGATTATTGTGTACAACAATTTTTGTTTATTAAAAATATGTTATGTAGCTTCTTTTTTTTCATGGGAATGTGCAGTACAGTACTGTATGTCAGCCTTTATAATGGGCATCTATGGGAAAGTGTACTTCGATTTATGAAAAGTTTTTCAGGAACAGAATCCTTTCAAAACCGGGAATAATTGTACAGTACTGTACTAGAAGGGGAAATCCAGGAGATGTCTAATAAAGAAGGGGTTTTTCAATTTCTTTAATATTTTCCACTGAAGTTTTTATCATTATAGAAGATATTTTAAAAGACACAACATTTACTAGAACCTGACCTAGCTAACCAAAGAACCTAACTAACTTCCTAGCCCCTCTGCCCTCTGAACCCCCGCCATACTAAACAAAACGTACTTACTGTACTTTGATATCTGGTACCAATGAAAGTAACTTTCTTGAAGCAAAGTGGTGCAAGTCTACATTTTTTGTGGATTGAGTGGGTTGGTTGTAAACAAACAGTGTAGACGACAACATGAGCTGACTCGGCAGATTTTACAGGGGAGTATACGTATATGGTAAATAATTAAATTCTTCACTTACAAAGCATGTACAGACATTATTTTAGCGTCAAATGATCAGATTTACACTGTGTTTTGCCCTGCAATTTCCCTCCTTCATGTCCTGACCACTGCAAGAGATTTATTTATTCATAGATAAAAAAAAATGGTAATTAAAATAAAAAGTTGTCACCTCTTTTAAAATACTTACTACAGGGTGTCCCATAAGTTTCCATACAACGTATCACCAGCGCCATTACAAGCATAACTCCAGCTGTGCTTGAAGTTGTTCTTCAGCAGTGGAGGACACGCATTGAAGAGTGTTTTCAACAGAATGGTAGTCATGTAGAGCATATTATATAAATAAAAATGGATTTTCATATAAAATTTATTTTTCCTATGTATGGAAATTTATGGGACACCCTGTATAATAATCTCATCTGGAAAAAATTAACAAAATCGAACAACTCCTCTTGGTGTTTTCCATCTCATTTAGTATTACCCTAGAAAAGGGGGAGAATGAACCCTGTAGGGATTGCAAACTTAAAACTAAAGTCTTGTGGAACTGAAGAATTGCCACTAAATGCTTGTAATTTTCAAAGATACAATAACTCACTTGACACTGTGTTATCCTCGCATTTCTATTACGTATATGTAATATGCGGTACAGTATTATAAGATAAGTGTTTGCTTCATATCTATTTTGTATTTTATTGTAAGTGGTGAATTCCCTATGTCTGGTCGTGTAAAATCAATTAATCAGTCAATTTGTTCTTCAGAAATGGGGGGGACACTTTTCCTATGAAAAAGGGCCATATGCAATTCGTTTTTGGCCCTCAGGGGAGACATGCCCTTTTAAATATGGCGAATTTTATTCGCCAAAATACATCAATGCTTGTATTGAGAGGAAGACTGTTCTGCCCCTCGAAGATTATAGGTAAGAGCTTTTAGGTTTTTTATACCTACAGTTTTGTGGAATACCCAGTACAGTACAGGATTATGAAGTCTATTACAGTACTTACTTTTCACTTAATATCTTCAGTTTTCTTGATCCGCTTGTTATATTTTTGCTTGTGTAACTAAGTACGACAGAGTTCAACTCGTGTTTTGTTACCGTCACGATTTTCCATGATATAAACTAAATGACGATTGTATATTTAGCTTAACATCTATATAAAAAGGTGGCATTTCATTCTGCAGGTGACCTCTTAATTATGGCATTACTAATTGGCCCTCACCCATACTCCATTGGAATCCATAGTAATTTTTTTATCCCTTTTCTCTCCAGGATTACGAAAAAGTCTAGCTGTGTTAAACCTGAAGAATCGATGGAAGTTCTCTTCCAAAGAAAAAGTTGGAAAGATTTGCAATACGTGCCCGTCCGGTATGTGCCGATATAAATATAATGTATAAATTTTATTCTTCTTCATCTGAGATTTTGTTTAAAGTGATAATGTTTAGGTGGTGTAATTGATCAGTGAACCATATACTAAAGGTTCTGTATTATATATCTGACTTTGAATAGTAACATTCATATCATCCAGGAATACTTTCTCCTCTGGTAATTGGGACATGAGGGTAACAGTTAGTATTGTCACTGCTTAAAGGAATATTATAGCATGACTGTCATTATAAGATGTGTCTTTTATGTAATTTCATCACAAAGAGAAATTTCAGGATTAATCTCATGTTTATTATTCTACCCCAAGTAATACCAAATGAATACCACCCTTTCAAGTTTTAGTTTTTACTATAATGCAGGGAGCCAGAATCAGGGATAAAATACAAACTTGTCCTTCCTTTATTAATTCCAGTGGTGGGCACAGCTAAATGAAAAGTTAGCTTCGCTAACCGCTAATCTGCTAACTAAGAAGTTAACTTCGCTAAACAGCTAAAAAAATTAGCGGAAGCTAACGCTAGCCGATATTTTTTATTATATGAATTTAGCTTCGGTTTGTTTGTTTTTTGGCTCTAAAGCCCTTAAAAACAGACCTAGAGTGCTGAAATTTTCATATGTTGTCTTGTAGCTTAGACATAGAGCTTTCCAAGAAAGTATAGCATGCCAAGATCAGATGATGATCAACTCATCAAGGTGTACACTGTACACAATTTCACAAATACCCTGTAATTAATTTGCATTCATACAACCTATTGGCCTTATTCATTATTCATTTAAATATGCAATACCAACCACATACACATTATACCAGTCCATTTTTATATAACTTATTGTTGGTCTTAGTCATGTAAATAAACAAAAAACTCTAAACTTTAATGAAAAGTAAGTTTTTAGAAAATTTTGTTTGGCGCACACCTTGGATGACATCCTGGTTATGAACTTATGCAGTACTTAGCATAACCAAATATATTGGCACAAAAAAAAATCCTAATTAAATTAACGTGACAACGTCGTAAGTGAACTGAACTCAGAACTGCAGAATTACACAATGCTGTTCAGCTGCTGCAGCGCGGCGTCGACAAATCATGTCTTGTCACGTTTACATGTACAAACACGCAGTCAGCCAAGCGTGCCTGACTGGCTGTTGGAGACATGCGTCGCGGCGTCACACGCTTACAACAGACAGGAACAAACTTGTATAAATTTTGTTAGCAGACTTAAATTTAGAGGAAGCTAATTGGTCCGCTAATGGTTTCCAAAGTTAGCGAAAATGCTAATCCGCTAACGAGAAAGTTAGCTTCGCTAATTAGCGGAACCGTGCCCACCACTGATTAATTCTTACTGCTGTAATAATTTTGTGGTTATTGTTATGTGTATTAAACTTAAATAATTTGTCCTGTATATTTCAGGGATAGGTCGCCAGACTCCTCGGATGAGGATGAGGATTTTAAAAGATTTGATGAATCATGTCGACCCAAAAAAAGAGAGAGAACAAGGTAGGTTGTCTTGTTGTTCCTATTCCCTTTTTTTTTTTTTTTTCTCCACTATCAATGCCTACTTTTAATTCTTTATCTTCATTTTCCCTCCAGTTCTTCCTCAACCTTCATCTCTACTCTCACCTACTTTTCCTCTCCCTTCCCTTCCCTTCCCCAGTGTGTTTGTGTGTACAACATATGTATTTAGTTTTAGATATTTTTACAGAAAACCAATTTAGGATTTATCCGTTAATCAATGTTACTGTTGTGGTAATTGGTTGTCTTTGTATGTACAGAATAGATTTGGAACATTTCACCCACTTTGCATCACGTAAATAAAATGTTCATTGTAATCTAGCTGGGCCAAGGTGCTAACTTATTCTTAGGTGACATTATCTTCTTTCAGCTGTTTTGGGAAAGTAATTCCTCACTGCTAATGGTCATTGCTGTATATATCAGCTAATCTGTCAACAAACACATCTACAGCATAATTGGATAGCATACAAAACTAGAGGATTCATTCTTAGTGTATCAGTAAATTTTATCACTGTACTATAATGTACAGTAGTGTGAGATCCTTCTATACATTCTGTTCCTGCCCTTCTCCCTTTACCCCTTCAACTAATACTTGGTTTCAAGACATTGTAGATATACCTATGATAGTGTGCCTACTCTCTCCTCATCTCCCCATTCTTACTTCTCCAAACTTTGTTTAAGTTATTTTGTCTTATTATGTCACATACGGGGAATATAAATCTAGCATTTGACTTTTAAAAAAATAATCCATTTAGCCTTAATGCATGTTTCTACCTGAATTGCAGATATGCCCGGGAAGAACCTGGCAGTCTCTTAAGGAACATTATATAAAGCAAATTATTCCTAAAATTGATGCTTATGAAAAGGATGTAAACATAAAATCGAGGATGATGTTTGTGTAAGTACATAGCAGTACATTGTGTTAACAGTACTGGACATGGGGAGGCAAAATGGGAGACACAGTTTTCACAATGATTGCTAACTGTTCATCAGTGAAGTAGACCTATGGCTTTGAACTTAAATCTATAAGCTTCATTAATGTACTTTTAACAACATTTTTGATGGAATTATTCTCTGTACTACTTGAACTTTTGGCCTTTTAATTCAAGGTAATTACACAAAATGTTATATCTTTTCTACCTCACACAATTATACAGTACTGTATTGACTTGTGTTGAGATTTATTGTACTATATCTTGTTTAGTAAAGGCAACTACTGTACGTATTAGTCTGTTGGTGATTAGTCAATTTGAGCCCCAGACAATAATAAGCCGTAGTCTGACTTAGCATAAGCTAACATGTATCCCCCATTATACATGTGTGCCAGGTATACCCCCCAAAAAAATTATCCGTTATGATTCCCTTTATACAGGTTGCTGAGGGAACCTTGTGCCAAACTTCATGAGGTGTTTATGGCTTATTATAAACAAAATTATTTCCACAAAGTTCCAAATCTCAATTTTTAGGAAGTTATCACTTTGCTATTTAACACACTCCACCAGCCTTTGCTAATGGACTCCTCCCCTTCCCACTCCCGTAGGTAGTTATGCATATTAAGCATTGAAGTCTTACATATTGCTATAAGTGATAGGTAGAGTGTTGCCTCACTCAAGCATGCTGACACATCTCCACGATCCAGCTAGCCAGATACACACACACACACACATCTACAGATGGCCCTCAATATATGAATGGGTTAGGTTAAAAAACATTTGTTAGGTGATTTTTTGTATCTTGAATAGAAGAACACGAAATCGGTCACAGACCAGAAAAATCTACGTAACTAATGATAAATCGTACACAAGTTCTGTAATTTACTACCAAACATTAAACCTATTAATAAAATACTATCTAGATGAAACTATGCAGCTAAAATTATTAAGGAGGAAAAGTGAAAACAAAGTTTAACACGGCTGCCAGTGACGCCATTTGCTTAGACCAGTGGTTTTCAACTTGGGAGCCACGGCGAGCTGTTATAAATTGTACGTTTCCAAATAATGTTGGGAATCTGAATTAAACAAAACTTGTATTACTTATTTTGACTTGGCAGAAGAGATTTTTTTTTTTTCGTGTTATTTAAGATTTCACAGGTCCAGTCCCTGTCTGTGTGACAGGCATTGGAGCAAGCTGCTGAACTGCCTTGTCCAGTACGTGTCCTTGTGTCATCCCTTTGCAAGTAGTGATAGTACCGAATGATCTCAGTCTGGCCTGGGATACCATCACGAAAACAGTGGAGTGTATTGTCTCTGAACCATATATATTGTGTTTGAGCTTGACTCAAGCATAATATACTCTGTAATTGGTGTTACTTATTTTGTTTCATAGTTCATGTGGTCGCTGCTTTACGTGGGTGAAATATTTGTACACTTCCTTTATTAATTATTTCCTTATTTATTGGTGCCATTGTTGTTCATACTCATTCTTTACTTATATAATCCTACCATTTTTAGTGCTAAATTGGTATGACTCACTATTCTTCTCATTCTTCCAAGTTGGGCAGTACTTGTCAAAGGAGGCGTGTTCTTGCTTACAGGAAGTACACTTCAGCTTGCTAGCTTGAGTGTGAATGTTTACCTGTGTGCATGTTTGTGTGTGACTGTCTGTGTGCTTTATGTGTGAGTGCATGGGCGTGTTATGTATGTGTGTGTGTGTGTTTGCCATTCTAACTCTTGTCCTATTTATTTGTCCTTCTTTAGTCTTTATCACTTGTCTGTTTGTCTGTTCTGGGAGAAAAATGAAGGAGGCCACGAGGATGTTGAAAATTCCTCAAGGGGGGAATGGAGTGAAAAGGGTTGAGAACCACTGGCTTAGACGCTAGCTGCTACATGCATGGTTGCCCTCAAGCATCGCCATAGCAATGCAGCTCAATCACCTCCTGCTTCCCCTCCTGCTCTCACACACAAAGAAATGTTTATTCCCTTTATGTTTCTGACCTTATGATAATTATTACTTTTTTTTTTTTTTTTGCACATATAACTATAAAAAAAGTATATATATTTATACAGGGTATACAGTACTATAATAAACATAACTCCATCCTCAGGCTGGTAGGGAGAACACTAATGGGGATGTGGCCGCCCCAGCTGACTCGGGGGCACTCAATTTTAATTTTTGTCGGGACCCAAATTCGTAGAAGCAGTTGAAGCTTCCGTAACACAAAAAAGAAATGGTAATTTAAGAAATTTATATCAGCGAATTTTCTTATCTCGAGAGATACCTGTAAACGAGCTTTAAAGGACTTGGTACAAATATATGTGTGGTCAGGTCATGGAGCTGTGTGTGTGTCCTTGCTGAGTGGGTGATAACTACACATCTGCATACTCCTGTCGTAATCATATATAAAAATTTCTGTGCTTTATATGCTATTTTCCAGAATAAATAATTTAGTGTGTTTAACTCTTAGTTCTGGTTTGAAAAAAAAAAAACTCCCTGTAATTGTTTCTGTTTATTTTTAAAGCTGTAACAGATGTATTGTATAAGTGACAAATTAAATAAGTTTGTTTTTTATTTGATAATTCAGTTTTGGGGGCTATACCAGTAAAATGAAAGACGGAGGAGAGTGCAGCAGGAGTAATCAGCCCCATGATGACACCTTAGAGGTAAGCCATTGACCAGTAATTGAATTTATAATGTCAATGGGGCTCAACTGCTCATTATACTCTTTCTTACTCCTTACAATGATAATAGAAATAAACATTAGTACATGATATTAGGAAAGAGTAATTTATAACCTATAGTTTACTCCCCCCCCCCCCCTCATTTACACATTTAAAAAGTGACCCATAAAGTTTGATTCCCCTTCCATTATGCCTGAGGGAAACCTTACGGCAGTTTTCTTTATAATTTTTGGTGTTTATATCTTGACTGTTTTTACTCACTTTATAAATCAGTTAGATCATGACTGCTGTTTCTCTGTATGTCTTTAGTGTGTTTTGGTCATCCCTTTTAGTATTAATAGATAGAATTATTGACTTACCATTACTGTGAGGTAAACTAGACATGTAGATAAGTAGGATGCACGAAATAATAATAAAAAAATAAATGTAGCTGTGGAAATGAAAAATAAAAAATAAAATAAAAATTGGACATGCATAGAGTTTGCTGAGGTGGTATGGACATTTCTGGATAACAGGGAGTAAAAGATTGGTAATGAGAGTGTGTAGTTCATGGGTAGGAATTGGTTCCAGCTCACAGAAAAGTATATACAAAGTAAAACCAAAAATGCACAAAGTCAGAAACTCCTAAAATTCCCCTTAATCACCCTTAAATCACTATATATATATATATATATATATATATATATATATATATATATATATATATATATATATATATATATATATATATATATATATATATATATATATATATATATATATATATATATATATATATATATATATATATATATATATATATATATATATATATATATATATATATATATATATATATATATATATATATATATATATATATACACACAGTATAGTCTCGATTTACGCGGATTTGGTTTACGCGTTTGGTCATTTGCTCGGCACCTTGCCAGAATGACAATTTTAAGTTACGCTGTCTCATTCCGTCATTTATGCGGGAAGCGGCGCTTGGAGGGTGCGCATTAGGTCGCTCTTACATTATCGCTGACGTCATATGATGTATCGGACTGTGATTGGGCCACGCATCCTTACCTCCCTCTGCCGCCAGCTGTGATTGGTCTAATGTAACATGACATGCCCTGCCACCAGAGGAAAGAAGTCGCTGACCTAGCCTGGCCAGTCTCATTGTTCTCAGTTTCCGCGTATACAGTTCTCTCTTGTGCCCGCTATCCCTCTCACAATGGCTTCCGCTGGACCCCCACCACCCCCGAGAAACCTTGAACTACCTGGACCAAGCCATGGTTATGTGAAGGAAGTCATCGAGTTGGGGGAGAAAATCAAGCTCATCCTTGACAAAGACACAGTCAAGCATCGGTATGAAGTGTCTAATAACCTTCTGTCGAAAATTATGGAGCCGTATGTCCAGATGTATCACGACAACATCAATGCTAGTCTCGCCCGCAACTCGCCACAACCACAGCCAGCCTAAGTCAGTGATAGTGACAGTTACGATATGGACTTTGAGGGGTTTGTCAGGGAGGCCCTGCAAACCTCTGTGGTGGATAGTGATTCAACTGAGGGCCACTAATCTGCCCTCTGCCTCAGAACCAGCTGCCATCCCCGTGTGCCCACCCATCTTTTCTACTAACGTAAGTGTTAAACACCTTTATATTTGTACAGTTGTGTAGTTTTTTATTTAGATATAATGTGTGTCAATACCATCATAAAATTATGATGTTATTTTTACTACAAGGTACAGTACTGTATTGTGTCGGAAAAAGTGGAGTTTGGGAGTCGGCCCAGTCTCTATTTCAATTAATCCCATATGTTCTGTTATTTCGTTTACTCGTTTCACGTGGACCTCCACGGGTTCAATTGACCGCGTAAAAGGAGACTATACTGTATATACGTACATATACACTCATACTCTTAAATCACTACTGTAATGTGATACAGGCAATTAATTTTATCTCTTGTGCAAAATATATGACGTTTATATTAGAATTATTCACTGTCTTGCAAGGATTCCAGCAATGCAAATTATATTCTCCTAACTTTAGTCTGTGATATATAAGATAAACACTGTAAGCCAAGGGGGCAGACGGGAGGGAGGGAGGGAGCGAGCGGGAAGTGAGGTGATATGGTTTGACAGTTGGCGCCAAGAGGTCTAGTGAAGTATTTATTTGTTTATTTATTTCCTTTAGATTGAGTATTTGTTTTTTGCTTATACAATTTCATAGAAGTGACCGGGGAGAATATAATTTACATTGCTGGAATTCTTATAAGATAGTGATTAATTTGAATGTAAACATGCCATAGTTTGCATTAGACAAAAATTTAGTAGTCATTTTGTACATTAGTATTCTCATTACATGTACAGTTCAGCTTTGTCCTTAGGACAGTGTTTGCATGTAAATGAGTTTTAATAAATGATTAAAGTTACATATATTGAGCCAAAAATATTAGTTGAAAAACTTTATGTAGACAGAGCTTGGATGGCTAAATTTTAGAATGACCAATAATTTTAATACTGTACTGTATAAAAAATGCACAATATTAAAGAGCACAATTTTCTTTGTATTTACTCCATTGGAAATGAATGTAAACATAATAGAGATTACTGAATTGGCTGAGTACCTCCTCAGCTTATCAGGCAATGCTCAAAACAAACCGTGATTTTTGTAAGGATTTCGTTAATCGATTTTTTTTTTTTTTTTTTTTTTTTTTTTTTTTTTTAACAGAATTGAAGATTCTTATGGAAGGTATTTCGTTAACCGGGGGACCATTGAAGTGGTCCCTTGGTTAACGAATTACCTTCCATAAGATTCTTCACTTCGGTTAACGAAAATTTTACGGTTAAAAAATTCCTTACGAATTTTTCCCAACATGTTTTCGCCTGCTTTTGCTGCTCACCAGCTGTGGTATTAGTCCGCCAATACAGTAATCGGTTTTAGGGCTTCAATTCGTTACCATTTGAGTAAATATCACGAAGGTTGAACTATTCAAAAATTTTCCAAGTTTTATATTAAGTTTTTAGTCATTTTAAGAATTATTTAACATAATTGAAGTACAGGGAACTAGTTTTTAGCATGCCAAACAGCCACTTGACTCACCCAGCAGGCATCAGTGTGTGTCCCTGCTCAGTGGAGGAAGCTTCTTGCTTGAGACTCTTGAACATAAACTCTTTTTACATTTTTACAGTACAATTATTGGTCATTCTGAAGTTTATTTTACATATTGACAACATATAATGCAGTGCAGTGTTGATTTAAAGAAAATAATCTTGAATTACACCAAGAGAACTAAAATTTTATGGGTGAAATGGCAGCATGGGGTGACTTCTCTTCCACCCCAATGCCTTCTCTTCTCCCTTCTCCTCCACCCCCATTCTAATTCCCATCATCATCATCATCCAGGAGCCTTCTACATACACACGTCAAAGTAAGTGTACTTTACTGCATTTATTTTTAGTTTGCATGTAATTTTCGGTGAGCTGAAACCAATTGCCCAAAATCCCATTGAAACAATGGTTTCGGTTAACGAACGACCTTCTGGAACGAATTGTGTTCGTTAACCGAGGGACCACTGTATTGTATTTACTTATAGTATATAATCTCTACAGTCATCTCATGGATCAAGAGGTAGCAGAGACTACACAGAATAAAGTGTTGTAAGTTGTGCACGTGCATGTGTGTAGAAAATGACTAAGAAATGTCAAACACAGCAATAGAAAGTGGTGCGTGTGGCCTGTTCAGTTCTTCTACCTGGTAAACATACTGTTGTTCATTTTAGCATAGCATTGGTTCCCACTGTTATTTCATGAACTGTGTGAAGTAAGGAAGATTTGTGCATGAAGTCATTGTGTTGCTGTTTAGCACATGACAGCTGCAAGAGGCTTGTTAAGTATGATCAGGAAAGTTAATCTTACAGCACAGATCAAGTGAAGCTTAATCTTACAGCACTAGATTAGGGAATTTTACAGCTCCAGATTAAGTAAAGTTTAATCAAACCGCACAAGATTAAGGTAATCTTACAGCACTAGAATAAGGAATGCTTAATTTTACAGCATTAAATTAAGGAAAGCTTAATTTTACAGCTCTAGATTGAGTAAAGCTTATTCTTAGTCCTAGAATAAGGAATGCTTAATCTTATAGTACTATATTAAGGAAAGTTAAATTTCACAGCTCCTTGTTGAGGAAAGCTTAATCTTACACTAGAATAATGAAAGTTTAATTTTACCGCTATAGATTAAGTAAAGCTTAATCTTGTAACACTAGATAAAGTAAAGCTGGATCTTAGAACACAAGAATAAGGAAAGCTTAATCTTACAGCTCCAGATTAAATAAAGCTTAATCTTACAACACAAAGTAAAGCTTTAATCTTACAACTTTTGTCAACAGAAGATGGTGAAGCGGAAGAGAGAGGAAGGCCAAAGCAGTGGCTATGAAGATCGTGGTAAAAAATGCGACCTACGCTCTACCAGTCAAAAATAGGAATGGTCTTAATGGATCTTTTTATCAGACCGTTGCTAGTTATAAAATAGATTGATTTTAGTTAGTTACTGTTCTCATTAAGTATACTTCGATTTTATTTTGTAAGCAAAGGAAAAAATGAGAAATAATTTTGTAATGGTCAGTATTTGTGAAGTTTATCATGGTAACCAATTTAGCTAAGACAGTTGTGTAAAAAAATTTATTTGAATTATTGTGTTGATTTCTATATCATGTGTAATTGGGGAAGAAACAGTTTCCATTGAATATAGAAAGCTGAAGTTACAGTGTAAGACCTAAAACAAAATAATGGAAAGCAGCAGACTGGGGAGACAAATTTTTTTATAATTTTATTTGAACATTTTTCTCATATGTTGCCCAAATGATGATACCCTACGTATGTTATCACGTGTACAATGGGTATGCAGTAATTTACAAATGTTTCAAATATTACTCCTTTTTATGACTTAGATTGCTAAAGCTATATTGTTGCAAGCACCTACCATACCCAATGAACACATGAATTTGAGAGTTGTATGCTTCAAGACAACTAACAGTGTAGGGATTATAATTAGCATTACAGTCATGCGCCGGTTAACGTCCTAGATACATTCTTGGAAACATGATGTTAACCGAAATGGACGTCGTCCAGTCACCACATAAACTTTGTATTTATACTTACGTGTATGTGGAATACTATTTACGTGCATATACACTTTTACTCTTAAATCACTATTGTAATGTGATACAGGTGATTAATTTTTATCTCTTGTGCAAAATACATGACGTTTATATTAAAATTATTCACTGTTTTACAAGGATTCCAGCAACTCCAGCAGATGGGGGAGAGAGAGGGGGCGTGGGGGGAGGGGAGCGGTTTGACAGTTGGCACAGGTCTAATGAGTGTACATTTATCAGTTCTTAAGTGACTAAGCGTCTCTCTTATGAAAAGCCAGTGAAATGACCTGGGTGAATATAATTTACATTGCTGGGATTCTTGTAAGATACTGATTAATTTGAATATAAACATGCTATAATTTACACTAGACATAACAATTTTAGTACCGTAATCAAATTAGTACACGTACACTTCAGCTTTGCACTAAGGTCATTTATTTCTTTTACGTTTCTTTTAGTACAGTGTGTGCATGTAAATGGATGAAAATAAATGAAGAAATTTATGTAAATCTACCCAAAAATACAGTTGAAAAACTTTTTATAAAATGTACTACAGTATTGTACAAATGTACTACATTTTTATATCTTGAGCAAAATATATGACGTTTATATTCAAATTATTGGCTGTCTTGTAAGGATTCCAGCAATGTAAATTATAATCTAACTTTAGTCTGAGATATTATATAAAATAAACACCTTAAAGAATAAACTTATCAATTTAGGCTTAGGATAATTATGCACTTAAAAATGGCTAAATATGCAGTAAAAACTGGTAAAATATGCATTTAAATATTCACTTATTGCTAAGGAAATTAATATTAGCAGTAATAAGTTAAAAATTTTAACTTATTAGATTTAATAATATAACTTATTTTGCAGTAATTTACCCCAAAGAGTTTTCTTTCCCACAAAAGCTGTGGCTGAGTGAGACCTTTTCATAAAGGATTAAATTAAAGAACATAATGTACTGACAAAATAATTTACTTGATACAGAAAAACACCAATACATTTTCTTATATTAACTGAATGTAGGAATTTGCTACTTTTAAGGTATGTAGCCTAACCTTGTTCAAAATCATTTCTTAAATAACTCCCAAGCTGTCTATGAAAGTGAATTGCATTTGATTTCAACATGGTGGAGTAGATTTTCAAACACAAACTTTCACCTGTTGTCAGCAAGACTGCATTTGTTCTGTGAAAACACTCGTTCAACATCGCACGAAATGATAGCATACTGTAACTTAACTATGTCAGACAGCTTAAGTTCTCCTTTGTTTTTAGCAAGAACCTGGCTGATTTTTTCAAAGTAATCCTTCTTCTCAAGGTGACTCAAAGAATCAACAACTCCTTGTACTACATCCATGCTGCTCTATAGAATTAGTCCTTTTTTCTCCAACTTGAGGATTGCAGAGGAAATACATGCTAAGTTGGCTCTGATGAAAATTAGATCCTCCCGCAAGCCATCCTTCTTGAGTACATTTGGTGCCTCCTTCATATGTACAGATGCTGTGGGATCAAATGATTCAACTACACACTTCACAGTTTCAAAATTGTCAGCATAGTACAATGCTGCCTCGATCCAGGTGCCCCATCTAGTCACTACTGGTGAAGGAGGAAGTGGCACAGTACCAGCAATTTGTTGAAATCTCTCTTTGCGACTCGGTGCTTTCAGAAATACCTTCTTCACAGTAGAAATCAACACATTCACATCAGGCATAACTACACGAGCTAATTCAGCGACCCTGTGCAGGCCATGGGCTAAACACGTCACATGAATCATTTTTGGAAACAGAATTTCTAGTCCTGCCATACATTTAACCATATCTGGGGCTGAATCAGTGCATACAAGAAGTACACGATCATACTTGATGCCATCCACCCATAATAATCCCAAGGAATCAGTGAAAAATGGTTGAGTGATTTACCTTATCTAAGACCTTCAAATTAAGCAAGTATGATTTGTCTCTTTCTTCTTCTGGCCCTTAAATACCAAACACAAAATTTGCAACGCATCTTGCATCTACATCTGTTGTCTCATCCAATGATACCCAGATGGAATTATCACCTACCTTCTCTCTCAGTCTATCTAAAGTTTCATTGTAAAGATCAGGAACATAATTTTTTCTCAGTGTTGATTTTCATTTGGCACTTTTTGATCCGTGTACTTCTCTAAGAATGAGACCAGTTCCTTGTTGTTCAGCTTATTCAATGGTATATCAGCTGAGACCAAGGCTCTACAAACATCTTGATTAAACTGAGAATGTTTTGGCCCAGGCCGAGACAATGTTGTGGGTAGCAGTGCCTGTTGTTTGGCACTCGTTTTGGCTTCTGGCATGCTTTGCAGTTTGAATATGTTGCTGCACTTGAAATTTCTTGGATGAAGAAACCACAACCTCACAGTATTTACAAAATAATACTTGGCCATCGGTGGTGAAGTCATTGTATACATTTACCAATGCATTAAGAGTACTGGAGAGCGATTTCATAATCTTAAGCATCTTGCAGTGCTCAATCTGAAACAAAACAAACGCTCGTTCTGTATTTCCAAAGTCAATCTCACTAAGGCCTATCTTTTATTCCTGCAGCTTAAGGATGTAGGCCTCCTTTTAGGCTAAAACCAAGTGATTTAATTCATCTGAGGGAGGATTCGCATGGCGTCTTTATAAGAGTATGCTTAAAATAAGAGACAAGTTTCTGATTTAAATACCCCAACATTATTAAAATACAAGCAAATCAAAGTGATAATTTCAGTGGGAAGATGAGGGATACAGAATTCACACAGCTACTGTACCTGCTCACCAGGAAGCACAGACGGAACTGATGGAGCCTGACAGTGACAACCCTCTGTACCCTGGTGCATCACATGTCCGATACACGGATCAATCACTTACAGTTGTCCCGCGTTCACTGACCAGCAAGTTACGGCCTAGGGTACAGAGGGTTGTCACTGTCAGGCACGGTCATGATGTATGATCATTCCTAGCATTAAAAGTCAGTTTTGTAATTTGTATTTCTTATCCATTTTGCATCTTGTGGTATATCAGGAACTTGTGGACAGATACATTATTCGTGAAACATCTCAGTTTGGGTTTATGCATACTACTACTACCGAAATGTAGCCCATATAAAAAGAGTCAGAAGTCATATTTCATAGTGACATTTCCTTCCTATTTCTCTGTTTCACGATAGCTGTTTACCTGATGTTGTTTAAAGTGGAGTGATGCACATATAACCATTAGCATGAAAATATCACCGTTAGTTAACGTATTTGCCACAGGATTGTCCATGTAGTTATACTTGTTAGTTAACTTTGATTGCTGTTGAAACTGATTATTTAATTGTAGTTTAGTGTTAACTTTGTTTTTTAATTGTGATAATTAGGAAAAAAACGAGTAACAGTACAAGTAGAATGAACCGTTAGTTGGTGCAAGGGGGCAGTGTTTCTTCGCTCATTTAAAGCTACCCCTATTATGATACTCTTCTCTAATTAGTCTATTGTAACTAAAAGATTATTACTACTTGCACAAACATATATTAGAATCACAATACAAACAAGATAGCTAAAATTGGGGCTGAGGATTCTGTGAACTGGTTATTCTCCTTACATTCCGAGTCAACCAGTCAGCACGTTGCTATGGACTCGGACCCACCAGCATGCAGGGTCCTGTGGTCTTAGCATCATATGAAGTGATGCTGGGCCTAATGTATTGTTATTAATATTTGGGTAAAGTACAGTATTGCCATCTATTAATTAGAAAACCTACGAACAAGAGATCAGTTAATTAGAGAAATTACTGTATAAATACATGTAATTATTCATAAATAAACTTGAAAGCATTATATTATATATGATGAACTGAATCAAGATACCCTGTAAATGTTTGACCCTTAAATGGTGGCCTTCAACTGTAGAAGGTGTGGTAGTTGATGGGGCGGCAGCCATTGTTAATAGAAGTTAGCTGTAGGGACAGCTGCCATCATTAATGGGTGTTAGCTGTAGGGACAGTTGCCATCATTAATGGGTGTTAGCTGTAGGGACAGTTGCCATCATTAATGGGTGTTAGCTGTAGGGACAGTTGCCATCATCAATGGGTGTTAGCTGTAGGGACAGCTGCCATCATCAATGGAAGTTAGCTGTAGGGACAGTTGCCATCATCAATGGAAGTCAGCTGTAGGGACAGCTGCCATCATCAATGGAAGTTAGCTGTAGGGACAGCTGCCATCATCAATGGAAGTTAGCTGTAAGGACAGTTGCCATTATCAATGGAAGTTTGCTGTAGGGACAGCTGCCATCATCAATGGGTGTTAGCTGTTGGGACAGTTGCCATCATCAATGGGTGTTAGCTGTAGGGACAGCTGCCATCATCAATGGGTGTTAGCTGTAGGGACAGCTGCCATCATCATTGGAAGCTAGCTGTAGGGACAGCTGCCATCGTCAATGGAAGTTAGCTGTAGGGACAGTTGCCATCAATGGAAGTTAGCTGTAGGGACAGCTGCCATCATCAATGGAAATTAGCTGTAGGGCCAGTTGCCATTATCAATGGAAGTTAGCTGTATGGACAGCTGCCATCATCATTGGAAGCTAGCTGTTGGGACAGTTGCCATCAATGGAAGTTAGCTGTAGGGACAGCTGCTGTCATCAATGGAAGTTAGCTGTAGGACAGTTGCCATCAATGGAAGTTAGCTGTAGGGATCAGGGACAGCTGCATCATCAATGGAAGTTGTTAGCAGGGACAGCTGCCATCATCAATGGAAATTGGCTGAGGACAGTTGCATTATCAATGGAGTTGGCTGCAGGACGCTGCCATCATCATTGGAAGCTAGCTGTAGGGACAGTTGCCATCAATGGAAGTTAGCTGTAGGGACAGCTACCATCATCAATGGAAGTTAGCTGTAGGGACAGTTGCCATCAATGGAAGTTAGCTGTAGGGACAGCTGCCATCATCAATGGAAATTAGCTGTAGGGACAGCTGCCATCATCAATGGAAATTAGCTGTAGGGACAGCTGCCATCATCAATGGAAATTAGCTGTAGGGACAGCTGCCATCATCAATGGAAGTTAGCTGTAGGGACAGCTGCCATCATCACTGGAAGCACCTCATATCTTGAGTTTCCTAAATCACATAAATACGGCCCCGGTTGACCGGGGAACTCATTTTACACTCGGCTACTGGACCAGCAACATCTCTCACAGCTCCTCACCAACCAGCTCCCTCAGAAACCTCCTCGCCCTACAGGACCTCTGGGCAAGCTACTCCTCACCTAGTCACTCCTAAGCACTGCACTGTACAACAATATATATACAGGAAGCGCATTGTGAGTTTCTATTCTACCTCATTCCTGAGTGTGAGATATCTACATGTACGTACGTTTGTGTGCCCATACAAAGAGACAATAGACAACTAAAGAGAATTGACAACTGGCCACATACAGTACACTATAATATTTTGAGGTTAATAGTAATTAATTTCTACTATGCAAAATTGACTGAGTACAATACTGCATTATAGAGAAATATTGGATTTTTTTTATGAAAAGGGAAGGTTCTGAGGAGCCCCTCCTAGTCTGTGCTGTGGAGTTAGTAACTATTAGAGCTGCTCTGTTGTCACCCACTAGAATCACCTGCTGTGTATTAAACCTGTGGAAGAGGCATGGAAGCAGGAGTTGTAGCCGTAACAATTGGTGCAGAGCACTTCCGGGAATGAGAGATTTCCGGGTAACGAGACGAATCTCAAAGCCAGAAAAAAATCCCTCATCCCTGGAATTTTCCGGGTAAAGGAAAATTTTTCTCGGAATTTCCAGAAAATGCACCCGATTTTCATCTCAAACCTGGGAAAAAAGGCGTCCCCGGAATTTTCCGGTGTAGTGGCTTAAATTCTTTCACTTTAATATTCCATCTAAGCTGCCACTAATTGTACTGGGCCGAGTTCTTTACTTCATATTTTACCATCCAGATATTGTTTTCTGTTATTATTCTTCAATTCTTTATTTATAAATATACTTTATATTCTTGCTTATATTCTTATATAAGTAGTTCTTGTCTTAGTTATGTATGTTCTTTATATTAAACTTTCATGGTGTATTTATTTAATAATTTCTATGCTTTGTCTTTAGTTCCACAATGTACATACATGGTTTATCTTTCTTTTCTTGAACTTTCCAAGTCTTTCATTTCTTGCATATATATTATATTTACTCAATTTCAATGTTCTTACCTTTCTGAAGTATACTCTGTTTTACGTCTATTCTCATACATGGGTTAGTCTGGGGAACCTTGTTATTCTTAGTACAACACTTATTATACTTACAAAAAGTAGTGTGGGGTATGAGATGTTTGGTTCACACTCAGGATGGGGTGGAGAAAGGAAACTCACGATGTGCTCTCTATATACATGTTGTATTGGATGTACAATGCAGCTTGGTGCTGGGAAGGCAGCATGGTTACAAGCGTGATGTAGAGAGAGCTGGTTGGTGAGGACGCTCAGAGAAGGACAGCTTGTGGGTCGCCATGCTCGCCAGCGGGAGAGAGGACCGCCAGGCAGGCGGAGGTGTTGCTGGCTGGTTGGTGTAGGTAGAAAGAGATCACCACGAGGTCAGGTCTTAAATAGCGGGGGTAGGCGTGGCTTAGCAGTTGACCCCCGCTCCGTGGTGTATGGCGGCGCTGGTTGACCTAGACCACGAGGCATACACTTGGGAATTTGTGGGGTCGGCTAGGCAGCGACAAACAGCGTTTGTAGGGGAGAATTCCACTACAAGCGTAATATGAATCGGCTAATTTTACGTTAATTGGCGTGTATGACCGTGGTCATTACAACAGTACATTACCAGTATATTAACAGAATACGTGTAGTAACAGGGACAGTTCTCCGCAGGGTTGGCAGCATCGTGACGTATCGTTGTGATCAGAGGTTATGTTGTGGGCGGCCAGAGTATGATGACGTGGACCAATGAACCTCCCACGTGCAAGTGTGAGTACAGTGTTGTTGTTGTTGTTGTTTGAGAATTGTACTATGTTGTGGAGAGAATATTGTTGAGAATTACTGTTTCTTTGTCACTAACACTCGCTCATATGGTCTGTCACTCAGTCACTCACCTACTGACAGTCATACAGTCAGTTACCCACTCACACTCACTCCCAGTCAGTCAGTCATTCAAGGCAACCATGAAACCAGACCCACAATCCAGCCTCTGTCATAATCCTTTCATAACCAGAAGAGGAGGAGAAGAGAAGGTTTCCAGTCACTCAAATGAAACCTCCTCAATCAGCTGACATTGTTGAAACCTTCCCTACAAACCAACCTCTGTGATAATTCATTTATAACCAGGCTTCCTTGATAGTGACCCAGAAGAGAGGGTTTCCAATCACCCAAATAAAACCTCTTTAATCTTCTGACACCCACAAACCCCCCGTCCTTAATCCACATCTATCCGTCTATATCCAAATGTGGACTGTGGACTGCCAGAGAGCATTAATCCGGGCACGTTCCTGCTCCTCAGCAACACCACTAGCTACGGATCTCAGGTGTCCTATGAATGCAGCGAAAATTGGAAGCTGAAGGGACGGATTCGACCGTTTTGTCAGGAGTATATAAGTTATGATATAGTGGTATTTTAAACATTGTTCTGTACACAGCTTGTGTTTAGACTTGTGTATAAATGTGTCTGAAGAACGTCCTCAAGAGCTGAACCTGTGATGACTTAACCTCTTGAGTATAATGCTATTGAACTCAGGGTTAAGTCATCATACTCAGGGTCTGCCTGTGATTCAAATTGACAAGAATAACTTAAAACAGTTTCAGTAATGTAAACTAATCATTATATTTTGATTAACATACCTTCTAATAGATAGATAGATGGATAGATGGTTTGATAGATGGATAATTAGATAGATAGATGGATATATGTTCTGATAGATGGTTTGATAGATGGATAGTTAGACAGATAGATGGATAGATACCATTATTTCCACCATTTCCAACACACTAACTGTTGTCCTGACTCGTGCCAACAGAGGTCATATGCCCAGAGCTACAGTCAGCGTTAACGGTGAAGGAAGGCGATCGCAGGGTCGGGTCGTCGGCCGAGTGCTGGTCGGGGAGTTTACTCACAGCTGCAAGACTCACGGCATCTGGACGGGAACTCAACCTAGATGTGAATGTATGTTGAGTGTGTGTGTGTCTGTACGTTTAGCTGTCAGAGGGATGATGTTTTTGTCGTTGGAGGTCAGAGTCGTTCATAAACACAACTATGGGGTCTGGTTGATTGATGATTCTCCAAGATTTTTTTTTTTTGTGTTTTGATAATTTTGTGGTGTGATAATTTCAATGTTTGTTTGTTTTATGCGATTGTTTTAATGTTTTGTTATTACCACAATCAATCAATCAATGAATCAATCAATAAATCAATCAATCAATTATACAGTAATATAATAATTTAGTTATTTCATTAATATTTGTTAGTTTATATTATTTAGTTAACTTTATGTGATGATAATTTAATAATAAGTCTCCTGCATATGCATCTCTATATTTTCAGTATACAGTGCATGTATGTATACAATCACATGTATACTTAAGTAAATACTTGTATGTATAAATGCAGCCACATAGTGTATCCATGTTACCAGATCCCCCCAAAAAACAGGTATGGTGTGTATTTTTAGAACAGACGTACATGTGTGTGTGTATCAAATTAAACCCAGAGAAAGATGTATGTAGCTATGTTGTGTACGTATATAAAATCATGTCTGCATCTCATGTACACTAAAATACGTGCACAAGTATGTAAACTATAAAACGTACATATTACCCATGTAAGTATAGAAATTACATTATGCCTGTCTGCCAAATGAGTCTCAAGTGATAAATACTGTATTATTGTATTGAAATAACTCATGTTTCTGTAATTGTAATTTAATAACCTAATTTTATACAGAATTAATCCAAAATACATAGTACAGGATGTGTTAAAAGTCACCTCCTACAGCCTTCACGTCTTGGATAATTGCTTCGTTTGGCAGGGAGGCGGAGGTAAGGCAACCAAGTTGCATTGTACATCCAATACAACATGTATACAGAGAGCATATTGTGAGTTTCCTTTCTCCACCCCATCCTGAGTGTGAACCAAACAACCCATACCCCACAGTATCATGTTCAATAGTTAAATCTAACAGTTGTAATTTATATATATGTACGTATATGTGGTATGAGGAACTCCAGAGACAACCATTTTGTGATATAGAATATTATTGATATGGATATGTATTTTTGTAAGCTCCGAGGAGGAAAACCTAAATATATTTTGTGGGTTTGAAATGGAATCCGCGCTAGAACGAATATGCATCCCAGCCGGGGGGGAGAGACGCCATGGCGTTGTTTACATCCCGGGGCCCAGTAGCAGGTATGTCCCACGTATTTCTTTGCTCTGTTAGAGTGTGTTTGATAGATTGAGCATAATAAATGTTATATGAAGAATGTGATGATCTCGTGGAGGTAGTTTGTAAGCCAGAATAAGGCTAATTCTAGCGTTGCTCTCCAGACATTCACCCTGGAGTGAGTCTACACCACCCCCTGTGTTGGGTTTATTATGTATTGTTTAATTCCTACTACTGTGTGGTACCCATATGACAACAGTTGATGCTTGTTTTGTAAGTATAATAACTAGTTATGTCTGATCTAGGTCCCAGCCTTTTCCTTCTCGGGTGATTAAGAGAGTAAATAATTGAGAGAAAACTACAAGTGTGTCCCATCCCTGAATTGGGAGTACCCTGCTTTGTGCTTTGTTACACACGTGTATATATATATATATATATATATATATATATATATATATATATATATATATATATATATATATATATATATATATATATATAAAGTTAAAGCTCATAACTTACACCAGCCCCTGAGGCTCTGTAACACTCTCACTCCGGATGTAGTAGTCACTAATTCCTGATTGTATAAAAAATAATAATAACATGTTGTAATAATGCTTGTGAGACTTGTTTTATCATAGAATAATGAAGAAAATGTTTTGTACATCAACATACTGAAATATAGTATTTCAGTTGTTCTTTTTCGTCAAATTTTTGTTGCAATAATACGAGGCTTTGAGTGTTTGTGTTGGGTACAGTTTGGAAGAGACGCATCTTTTGTCTTCTTACAAATTATAAAGTATTTTTACCAAAACAGAAGGTTTGTATTGTTCACACTTAGGGTAAAAATATGTTTTATGACTGAGTAAACTTATAGATAGACCTTATTAATGTTGTATAGCCGTAAATATCCTTCAGTAATGAAAGCCAAATGTGAGGTGAAGTGAACATTCCTGCCTAGACTTCGCCTTGTTTTTCTAATATGCAACCAATAGCCTCGCCCTATTTTCTTATGTATATGGCTTATGATAACATGAAAGGCTCTAAAGGTTAGCCAAAATTAAGTGATATGCATAAAATATGGATTGCAATAAACTTGATTAATAGGGGCATATAAAACTCCTTTTTCATTCTTAGGCCAATAAATGTTTAAACGTGGGGCCTACTCAATTTAGTTATAACATGAGGAATATTTAAATAAGAAATTATACCAATAGGTTAGGTTAGGTTAGAGAATGTGTACAGTACATGGTTTTTTGGTGAGTGTCAGGCTGTCAGTGAGACACTTTGTCTAGCAGCTACCTTAGGCTTAGTTCCAGACTTTTCATGAATAGTATCATAGGGTAGAGTATTAATTTAAGAAAATTTACGGATAATCAGATATATTTTCAGGTTTTAAATTGTTGTTTTTTGTATGAACGTGAAGACAATTCAGACCAAATGACCCAAGCATTGAAAGGAAAACACCAGGGTCTAGGCTAAATTTCCCTAAAATTATTTTCTTTCTTTTGGCGACTTCACACACCATGGCGCATACTTCACACACCATGGCGCATACTTCAGTCTCACTGAAATTTGGTCGTTTCTTCAGGTGGTTGTCCTTTCATCTTTTGTTTACAAACTAATATCACGTGCATCGCTCTCAGCTCATTTCTCCTTCTCTTGTGATTGGTCAATGATTTTGTTAACTGAGCGCTGATTGGCCAACTAGCTCCTGCACTGCCATCTACCTTCCGACAAGAGAACTGAATTTACAGGGTAAACACTATTTATGATAACTTACGGACTGCTTAAGGAACTGTAATTAAATTTTTGAGTATGCTAAATTTTCGGGACTGTGAGGAGTCTGCAATATATGGTACTGTATCTCGCTAATATACATAACTTATGAGGTGTTTTGAATATCTGGCCCCAGGTATATGATGATAACCACAAGGAAAAAGAAAACACGAAGTTCCCAAGCGCTTTCGTGTAATTCACATCTTCAGTTTAAAATGAAAGTTTTATTGTGGTTTTTAACATTTTTGTGGTTTTATTGTTTTATCATTATTATTTAATATTTGGTTAATATATTTGTGGCAGAAACAAAATAAAATTTTTGTTTTGGTTTTTCTGACAAGAGTAAACACTCCACTAACATTTTGAGTATTTACCGGTACTTAATCTAAGGTATAGAATCCATCGAAACATAAATATATACCAAGTTAACTACTTAAAAAAAAAATAAATAAATAAATAATTTTGATTCCAACACTTTGTTTAGAGTTTATGATATTTTATGAGTTATGACTTGAGTATGTTATAGTGTACTGTATGTGGCCAGTTGTCAATTCTCTTTAGTTGTCTATTGTCTCTCGTATGGGCACACAAACGTACGTACATGTAGATATCTCACACTCAGGAATGAGGTAGAATAGAAACTCACAATGCGCTTCCTGTATATATATTGTTGTACAGTGCAGTGCTTAGGAGTGACTAGGTGAGGAGTAGCTTGCCCAGAGGTCCTGTAGGGCGAGGAGGTTTCTGAGGGAGCTGGTTGGTGAGGCGCTGTTGAGAGATCTTGCTGGTCCAGTAGGGCAGAGTAGAATGGTCTCACAGTCAGTCAGTCAGGACACCGAGATAAGAGAGCCGTGGCTCTGAGGTGAGCAAGGATATTTAGGGCAAGGTATAGTTAAGAAGTGGGAAGTACAGATGGAGAATGAAAGCAGGTGGGCTTTCCACCTTGCGGAGGCTGTTTTGTGGTTCAACCAGTGACAGACGTCCCTCAGTCCTCCAGGGGCAAGGGAGTTTAGATAAGCTAAGCTAGTTAAAAGTGCCATCCTAAGATAGGTGATGTTTTTGGGTTTGTTGGAGGGTCCCTTCAGGCCCTTGTGTTACTGAAGGGATGGTCCTCATCATTTGTTTTTGGGGGGGTCCCACCAGGTCCTTGTGTGAACTGGCAGGATAGTCCCCATCTTTTTGGTTATCTAAGTGGTGTTACTCTCTTGCATATAATGGTTCTAGGCTGATTGTGTTAATGTTGATGCTTCTTGGCCACCAGGTGTGTCATATATTGTTGTTTTCCTGTACTAGTTCGTGTAAAATAGAGTCTTGTGTTCGGTGTAGTGTGTCCCATACCGCTTTTGCTTGTTTGTGTGTTCTTATGTTAATTGTGTTTATGTTATGGTCGATGTGTGTGTCTCGTATTTTTTGACTGGATGGCGGCCTATGTCTTGCTGCTCTTCTTAGTGCTGTATTTTGGACTGCTTGCAGCTTGAGTTTGTTTGTTTTGGTTATTGTGTTAAGTGGAATTGGTGGGTATTCAAGGTGTGGTCTGACGAGTGATTTGTATAGATGTAGCTGTGTTTTGGTGTTTAGTTTTCTAAAGCGACGGAGTTGGTTAGTTGCAATTTTGCTTTCGTCAATCTTTCTCTAATGTGTTGGTGGATACCGTTTCTGGTGATTATGAGTCCCAGTGTTTCCCCACTTTCTGCATATGGTAACTGTTGATTATTGATTATGATTGGGTATGGATTTATTTTGGCAATGTATAAGATCTTTAGTTTTTGGATGTTGGTTTGGATTTTCCATTTTCTCTCACAGTTGTTAATTGCTTTAATTTCTCTTCCTGTTCTTATAGCCATCATTTGCTTAGATTTCCCTGGATATTGTATTATTTGTGTGATATCGTCAGCGTATGCTATGTAGTCCGACTGTCTTGGGTCTGGTATGTCTGCTGTGTATATTGTGTACAGTGTGGGTGAAATGTTGCTGCCCTGTGGTACTCCACTGTGTATGTTGAAGGTTTGTCCACTGTAGTTGTCTATAATGAGTTTAGCTTGTCTGTTGTCTAAGAAGTTGCAGAGAAGGGTTGTCATGCTTTTTGGCATGTCAAGCTGAATTATTTTCTATTTGAGGCCTTTGTGCCACATTATCAAAAGCTTTTGATACGTCTCTGAGAACAATATTGCACTGGTTTTTATTGCTGATGGTGTTAGCTATTGATTCATAAATTAATGCAATAGCCGTGTTTGTGCCTCGGTTCTTTCGGAATCTGTGTTGTCTGGGGTTATATTTGTTTTCCTGTTCTAGATAGTTTCTGAGTCTGCTGTTGACTATTTTTTCTAGTATTTTCCCTGGTGTTTCTAATAAGGATATAGGACTGTAATTTTCCGGCCTTGTTGGGTTTTTCCCGGGTTTGGGTATGAGTCTGATTTTGGCTGTTTTGAAAATCTTGGGGAAGTGTCCTGTTGCTAGTGAAGCGTTAAAGATCTGAGTAAGTTGTTCTATCAGTATTGTAGGTATGTTTTGAAGGACCGTTTTGTTTGTCTGACTTAGTCCAGGTGCTTTACTTTTAACTGGTTATTATGTTTGTTATGTCTTTTGTGGTGCTTGGCGAGGTTAATGTGGCTGCACTGATTAGTATGTTGAGGTCTATTGTGGTTGCCATTTCTGTGTGTTTAGTGTAAGGTGTGTTGTTACCATCTGTTCTGTTACTCTACAATAGTTTCTGTTTTCTTCTGTCATTTTATATATGTTGCTCCAGAAATTTTTGAAGATCAGTTCTTTGTCTACAGATTCTGTAGCTTTTACCCCATTGTCATCTATAAGATGGCTGTTATCTGTGGAGTTAGTGCCCATTAGTTTTTTTTTATTTTACTCCAGAAGAGTTTTGGGTTGTGATAATCGGCCTCTGTGTTTGTGATTATCTGGTTCCATTTGTCGTTGTGTGATTGTTTACATATTTCTTTCAGCTCTTCCTTTAGGTTTCTGAAGAGAGTTATCGTTTCTTGGTTCCAGCCGTGTGTATTTGTATGTTCTAGTATATTATTCAGTCTTGTCTGGATTATCTTCTGTTCGTGTGTTAATTGTGCGTGGGGTAGTGTGCGGTGAGTTGTTTTGGGGGTGTTATTTTCCATGGCTGTGGTGACTTTAGAGTACCATGTTTCCAGGGCTATGTCAATGTCTGCTGTGTTTTTATGTTGATGTATTTGTTCGTTTGTGTTGAGTTCTGCCTTTAAACCCTCCCAGTTTGCTCTGTTGAAAGAGAATCTAGGGATGGAGGGGATTTGTATTGGTGATGTTGATAGAGTGATAATTATGGGCAGGTGATCGCTAGTGGTGGTTGGTCCAGGTTTCATGTGTGAATTCAAATGGTGGTGTCTATTGGTCAGAACTATATCCGGCTTCCCGGTGCTTCCTGCAGCTATGTAGGTTTCGAAATCTGGGCCCAGGTGTGTGATGTTGCCGTTTTCTAATAGGTCGTGTATTATCTTCCCCCTTGGGTTTCTGGTTCTGTGTCCGAGTATGGTGTGTGTCGCGTTTAAGTCTCCTATAAAATATGCTGGTGTGTTACGTCTCGTTAGTTTTAGTAAGTCACCAGTCGGGAATGTTTGTCGTCGGCAAGGTAAATATGTTGTTCCGATTGTTATTGGGCCTTTAGTTGTGTTGATTTCGACTGCTAAGAAGTAGGTTTGGAAATTGTCTATGAGTGTATGTTCAGTTGATGTGTGTAATAGTTGAAGAGTTTTATTTTGTCACTGTTTTTCCGTCGGTGTGAGTTTATGAGAATTATGTCTGGGTCTATGCTGTTGTATATGTTTGTCAGTTCTGTTTTTCTTGTATGTGTCCAGGCCAGGACGTTGTGTTGTATTATTTTCAGTGTTCTGTTTTGCGTAATCGTGGGTCGCATGAACTTGATGCGTGTTGTTCGGTTGCTCGGGTCTCTCCGGGGTAGAGTCTGTGTCTCTCCTCCTTCAGTCCTGTTCTTATTTTCTTGAATTTTGATAGGTCTACACTCTCGATTTTGTTGTATTTGCTGCTTATTTTTCCTCCACGTATTAGTGTTTCTATGAATCCCTCCTCTACCCTGTTGTCTTCATATGTGTATTTGGTTGTTCCTTCTTGAATATCTTTTAACAATCTCTCATTTGTTACAGGGAGTTGACTGCGTAAAACCTGATTCCTATGCTGTCTCCGACGTCGGCTGGCCGTTGACCAGTGGGGTTCTCTCTACGTGGTCTTGCTGGTGTTGACTTCGCTGATTGGTCGGTTGTGTTCTCTAGGGTCTTGTGGTTGGTTGGGAGTGGGTTGTATCCATTGCAGTCTCTGCTCCTGTGCAATTTTCTTGTGTTATTTTATCTTCCCTTTCTTTGCTGGTGATTCCTAGACTGTTTTCGTTTTTTTTTTTTTTATGTCTGCTGATGGGCCATTGTGTGGGAAGTTTACCTGTGGTAGGTTGTTCGCTGCAAATATTTCTCTGATAGTTTTTCCGAATGTTCCCGGGTTAACCACGTTGATTATGTTGGCATGTATCAGTGTGGCTAGTATGGTGAAGGGTAGACCTTCACTTAGCTTCAGGTAAGTGTTTTCTGCGTTGGTTTTATCTTTGGTTTTATCTAACACTTTAGAAGTACAGTCGACCCTCGTTAAAACGGACCCCTTTAATCCGGATATCGGATAAATTGGACGAAATCTGAATTAAGCGAGGGACTGTCCGTGTCAAATTTCTGGTTCTGGGATTGTCCGATAGATGGCGCGTGCGTGCCATCTGTAGTGTCTTGCAACTTTGTTATTGCAGCATAGGTTTTGGTTGGGTCAGTTTCTATATGTTTGTTCGGTTTTTCCTTTTCCTTCATGTCTTTGATGATATCCTTCCTTACTGGGCATCGTACTGTCAAAGTGCGGTGAGGTCTTTTGCAGTTCAGACATTTTGAATTTTCATTGCATGTTTCTTTAACTTCCATATTTTCATACGTGGTACAGTTTTGTATCAACTGTGGTCAGGTCTTCTTCATGAGAGTGCTCGTTGTACAGCACAGCTTAAGCATTCATTAGTTATTTTTGACATAACTAGTTATAAAGGATAGATCCTGAAATCCTGTTTGATAATAGAGCCTAAAAAGAATTAATGAGATCCCATCCTCCTCCTTTGATGTCATCATAAGAGGTCAGTGGATTATGTGGGGTTGATTCTTCTTCCCACTCAGTGATAAAGTCTGACAAGTAAATAATTGGTGCTGTGAAACCTTGAGAGTGATTTCCATACCTTCCAAGCCACCATGGACAACCTTGCTTTGTCAGACACCTGATCATGGGACATGGTTAGGGGGAAGTTGGCTGATGGTCAGTTTAGCCCTAGTCACTCTAGTTTAGAGCTTCCAAGCCCTCAAAGTTTGGTGGACACATTTACAAGTTAATCTTTATGATGTTATTAAAAGACATTATGCAGCTTAGAGAGCTGCCATCAGGTAATCATGGCTAATGCACACAACTGTGGGAAATGGACATGAAATGTTGGAGATGATTATGATGATATCAGCCTTTTCCTGCTATGGGTGGAGAGCAACTGAAATCAAGTTGTCTTCACTCCTTCTACTTTATAGTTAAGATTTCAATTGTGTTTAATTACCTGTTTCTGAAAGAGACTTTTTTGTTGCAGGTGACCTTCCTGGAAATTACCGAGACTTAGTGTGTTTTGAAAAAGTCCTCTGGAGAGTGGGTCCAGGACTTACACCTGCAAACTTCCTGTTTCTTGGGTTGAGGTGAGTGTTCTTCTTTACTGACAACATGTTTGTTTATTTCTGTGAATTAATATGTAGTAATATCGAGATAATATGCATGTTATAATATATTTTGGATAAAATTAGAGCAATACAGTCATGGGGCGGGGCATCTTTTCTCAGCTGAGAAAAAATGCACTACAGATGCTCCTCTACTTGCGAAAGAGTTACATCCTTGAGGCTTGTTTGTAAGTCCAACTTTACTCCTGTAGATACCAAACTTATTGTAAAAAATGAAAAGATTATGGATATTTAGTACAGCTATACCCTTTAATACAGCCTTAAAACCTGGCTCACTCTTCTCCTCTTAGGTAATGTTTGTTCAATCTGGAATTTTCTTCAAAATAATCCAGTCTCATCCACATTAAACACCTGTTCTGGCAGGTAACCCCCCTCAGTGATGATGTTTGTTTCTCTGAAAATTTGTAAGTTGAACGTTCTTAAGTAGAGAAGCACCTTTATAGTGGTGTTCCTTATTATTTCACACTATTATACTTAACAATATTATAAATCTCTGGCTAATAATAGGGACGGAAAGATAAATACTGATAGAAAAAATGAGTTTTTTATTATTATTTTATTTTGGGGGGGTTTATGAGGGGGGTGTAAGACGAGTGCTGTTTTTGGTGATCATTAACTTGTTTTACAGTATTAGTCCACAATAATAAGAAAATTTGGCAGAAAAAATGCAGTTATTGTTGGGGTTGCAATTGTTGAGGCAACTAGATATGTCTGATTACAGCAAATGTGTTATTGTCAATTTGTAGGTGAAAGATTTTATCCTCAATAGATGTAGGTTAACATTACACCTGGAGGCAAATGCCTAAAGAAGGAAGGATATTCCTTTTAGTTGTGTGAAAAAATATTAAAGAAAGTATATTATCATAAGTTTTCTTTTACAGAAAAGATGTATACTACTCCCACAAGGAAAGAACGATTATCCTTGATTATATCGTCAAAACGAAGAGGTTCGGGGAGGTTAAAGGCACAGTGTTGGCAGGATATGGCCGAGGCCCAGGTAATACTACACCTCTTACTGCAGTACCTGTTCCTGTTATAACACATGAACCATCATGTTTATTAATACTCTACTTGTTTTATGCAGGTAAACTTCAGATGTAGTTAATGTATGTCTGTCTTATTATGACTCATAGTCATATGAATTTAAACTGACAAAATATTAATCTTAATTTCAGATGTGTCCTGGCAGATCATGGCAGTCCTTAAAAGAACATTTTTGTATCTGTATTATACCAAACATCAGGCAGATCCTCTTCCCGTAAGTATATGTTGTAACACTGAGCGAAAGTGATGGGAATAAATATACGTACTGTAGTAGAGTACAGGCGGCCCTTAACATACGTGGGTTTAGCATACACGGATTTGCAAATACGCGGATTGCCCCGCCGGAGGAATATTCTGTACATTGAAGTAATTGAAGTATATTCAAATCGCGCACCATTCAACTCGCGCGCGGCACCGAACACGGGACACCGCCCGCTCCCGCAACCTCACACACACACGCATAGCTCTCCCTCACTCAGTCAGTCTCGCTGTAACCACTCTTGTGTTGACATCAGCATTGTAGTTGCAAAAATATTACATTTCCGTGAATGTAATATATCAAGCACAGTATGAATAGAATATCACTAATATAAGAGTATTTTAACCGAAAACTACTAAAAAAACGAGTAACATATCTTGAACATCGGAAGGTTAGGTAAAGTCTTTTGTTTTCATGTAGTTTATCCTAATTTACATTGAAATGCATTACGTTTCAGCAAAACTACTACAGTATTTATTTCTGAGAATATGGAAATGCAATATTTTGCTGAAATGACGTACGTATTACAGTGGAAAGTGACGAAAGCAATGACTCGCTTTCTTTCGTTCAAAAGATGTTACCGTAATCGCTTTTCGAATGGTTTTCAGTTAAAAAACTGTTGTATTACAATAATATTCTATCCTAATTCACTTGTGATGCAACAGTTTTTTTAACTGAAAACCATTCGAAAAGCGATTACGGTAACATCTTTTGAACGAAAGAAAGCGAAAGTCATTGTTTTTGTCACGATTTTATCCCACTTTCCACTGTAATACGTACGTCATTTCAGCAAAAATATTACATTTCCGTGAATGTAGTATATCAAGCACAGTATGAATAGAATATCATTGTAATATAACAGTATTTTAACCGAAAACTATTAAAAAAACGAGTAACATCTCTTGAACAGCTGAAGGTTAGGTAAAGTCTTGTTTTCGTCATGTATTTTATCCTATTTTACATTGAAATACATCACATTTCAGCAAAACTACTATTTATTTCTGAGAATATATACATTCAGGCGCAGTTTAGGTAAAATATACATGCGATGTAACAATTTTTTAACTGAAAACGATTCGAAAAACACGTACCCTCTAGCCCTGTTCAAGGACAAGGCTGGGAGGAGCTGTTTGGTGCTGAAGACGATGACAAGGAAAATGATTTTGATGGGTTTTAATGAAAATATTCAGAAATATGGTATTGTAGTATTTATTCAAGTGAATTAGGATAGAATATTTTTGTAATACATCAGTTTTTTAACTTTAATAAATGAATACTTTATGTTTTACATCGTCCTGTGCTACCATACCATGCATTTGGCTACTTTGAGCTTGCTATGATGACGCAAGAGATCTGCCCTGGCAACTGTACCGACACTCAAAGCGGGTGGTGCGTTGGTGCGTCGTTTCCATTGTTTACTGGTAGTTACTGGTAAATGTTTTTCAACCTAACGAAACTATTACCCGTTTAGAGGTCGACCCCCAATTTTTGTCTTAAAAACTCGAACTACACACAGGTATATACGGTAAATAAGGACATGGGGGACCAGGGGTGTTTTTTTTTGGGGGGCAAAAATATCGGATATAGGGTTAGAGTGCGGGTGCTTCGAAATCGAAAAATTTAGTAGTTAGCCTAACACAAAGGATAGCTGATCTAAAATAAATGTTACATTCATATCTAATAATGAAATCATACAGTAAATGTAACACTTTTACCTTGCAAAAAGATATGCTTGATGCCAGAAGTGATTTTGAGGTGATAACATGAGCTTCTTCAAGTGTTTTATCGCTTTTGCGATCATCACCGAATTCTATCACCAGAACGCTTCTTGGGGATATTCTTATTTACCATATTCACAGTTAATACCACAAAATTGGAATAGTAAACTTAAAATCAGCGTTATAGCAAACAGCGTTAAGCGTTATACAAAATATCTTTCCTCTATTCATAAATGGCTTTGCGACAAATTGGGTGGGTATCAAAACCGCATTAGCAGAACTCACTGTGATTTAGGGAAGTAATGGTGTCGTGGTTTTCTTTTGTTCAAATTTAATTAACAAGATTGATGTTTCTAATAAATGAACAAAATTTATGTATCTATAAATAAACTTTAAAAATGAATACTTTATGTTTTACATTGTCCGCAATGCTACCATACCATGCATTTAGCTACTTTAGGCTTGCTATGATGCAAGAGATACCCTGGCAGCTTCATGCCACGACACTCACAGCTGGTGGTGCGTCACGTTTCCGTATTTACTGTTAGTTACTGGTAAATATTTTCAACCTAACAAAACTATTACCCATTTAAGTCGACCCCAATTTTTTGCCAAAAATGTAGTCGCAAAAGCGAACTACACAGGTATATATCGGTAAATGTTGTGCAAATAAGAACGCCAGAGCCAGGGGTGTTTTAAGGGCAAACAAAATCACGCCGATTCACCAACATTAACAGGTATCTCTGTTACCTAACTCCCAGCGTATGATAAGGGCCAACTGTATTGTGATTCATATGGCCCTGGGTAGCTAGCTAGGAAGATAAGTTATTGTGCAGAAAGTGTAACTGTTCATTTTGAAGTAACATGGTTGCTCATATAAAACATTATAACGCAGTTGCAGGCCATTCCAGGCCAGTGGCAAGTCGAGAATGATTGAAACTCGCCTTATAGCGCATTCATGTTATTTATTGATGTAGTCAAAACCTGCAGAGAACAAGGCGTTCATTAGTATTACATGGTGATCTGCTCGGTACATAATTATCTAGTCTCCGACAATTTGTTGCCAAAATTACAATTGATTATTAAGAAAAGCGTAGTGACGCCAATTACAAGTTACCAGCTCTATTAATCTTAGTTACCAGTACACATCATTCTGCATTTTTCTTATTTCTCCAGATAAGGCAGAAACGGGTAAGAGCATGATAGTCCACAATATTTCAGTACTGAGGTATGTCATCACTTTGGCTGTGCCACAAGTGCGGGTCCGAAATGCAAACCAGTATGGTGTTCCAGGAACAATAGTACTGTATAAGTATTCACAAAACTCGGCCAGGGTAGAGTCAGTGTTTTATCACAGACGGCTGGTCCCTCCCACAGCATCGCGAGAAGGCGATCACCATCATGGGCCAGGCGGCCGCCACCTTTAAACCATACACTCCCAGCAGAATCAGGGCATCTTGTTTGTGGAGTCGCGTGGTCCAGGCTGATGTTTGTTTGGGTGAGCAATGCCAGCTCTGTAGTTGAAGCCAGCAGCGATAACAGTTATGATTAAAAACATTAGCATGCAAGTCTTTGGTATTATGCAGCAATACAGTGAGTCCTAAATATTAAGTATTTCAGATTTTCCCTTCACAAGTGTTGTATCTTAGTTCCCCCTTGGTGTGAGGCCACTGTAGGCCTACATTTCATACCCCTCAGACTAACATAAAACAATTACCTCCTCCCCTCCCTTCTCAGAAACATAAGAGTAAAGGAATATAAGTAAAATAAGAAATATAAATAAGTAAATAAAAGATATAAAAACAAACAGCACCAGCTTCTTTGTTACCAACATCAGCTTCAGTGAATCATCTGCTTATTCTGGGCTAAAGATGACCAGGATCTTAACAGATTGCAGTACACAAGAACACTTACCAACGGTGTGTAACATACGTATTTACCAATCGCTTAAACTGACTAACAGAGCAGATCAGTGTGAAGAGATAAAAAAGTAACACAGTTGTTCATGCCAGTATCATATAGAGCTTTTGTTTTAAAAATATATTTATTAGCAAACTTTTAGATAAAGTATTCAGGAATATTTTGATGAAAATATGGTGTCTGTCGAAATTAGAACTGATTTTACTGACCCCAATATCCAGCATTTCGCCGCACTGTTTTATAAAAGAATGGAATTCCCATCTTTCTCCATCATATAGAAAACGTTCATAGAATTTATTCAGGATCCCTGTTGTCTGAAATATGTTCTATTCATCCCCCTTTCGCTTACCTACACACACCCTCCCTACTCACACACACCCTCCAGCACCACCCACACACACACACACCTCCTACACCACCCCACACACCCTCCAGCACCACCCACACACACCCTCCAACACCACACACACACACACCCTCCCACCACCACACACACACCCTCCAAAACCACCCCACACACACACACACATCTGCACCACCCATCGGCACCACACACACACACGCCTCAGCACCACCCACCGCCTCCAGCACCACCCACACACACACTCCAGCACCACCCACACACTCCAGCACCGCCCGCACGCCCATCAGCCTGCCCACACGCCTCCAGCCTGCCCACACCCGCCACTCAGCACCACCTCACACGCCTCCAGCACCACACGCACTCCAGCACCACCCACACCCCCACTCAACACCGCCCACGCACTTCAGCTGCCACACACGCCTCCAGCACCGCCGCCACTCAGCACCACCCACCACGCCCATCAGCACCATCCACACACACGCAGTCGTCGCGCCCGCACACCGCGCCGCCCGCACGCACACGCCCATCCGCCCGCCGCCCACACACGCCATCGACACCACCCCCACACGCCGCATCCAGCGCCGCCCACACCCGCTTCCAGCCTGCCCACACGCCCATCAGCGCCACCCACACTCGCCTCCAGCACCACCCACACACGCCACTCCAGCAACCACCCACACACGCCTCAGCACCACCCACACCCATCAACACCACCCACACACACCGTCAACACCGCCCACACACGCACCACCCACACACACACACACACACCCTCCAGCACCACCCACCCACACCCATCCAGCACCACCCACGCCTCCAGCACCACCCACACACGCCCTCAGCACCACCCCACCCACACTCCTTCAGCACCACACCCACACACGCTCACACCACCCACACACGCCCACTCAAGCAACACCCACACGCCACTCCAGCACCGCTCACACGCACCCTCGACGCCGCCCACACACACCCACGCCCTCCTG